TTTTTTATAAATAATAAAAAAGAGTGTTCAAAATGGTTTATTTTGTACATATTTTAATATTTTTCATTCAAAATATTTTATAAACATAAAAATTGGCTTTTTTTTAATCAGAAAAAGTCATATGGAAAGCAGTTAAACAAGAAAAACTTTTCTAAATCATTTATTTTATCATTAGGTGTTATTATAATAATAGACAGATGTCATCGTCTCTCGAAATACAATATCTTTCTTATTTCGCTGTTGATAGCCTGACACGTGTTCTGCAGCCATCTTGTATTTTCTTGCGCACATGGGATTATGGGATCTCTCTTATGACTGGATCTATAGTTTCGAGCACTCTCTCGAGTCAATTGCGATTGAACCTCGTTTCAGTCAAGATTGAGATGGTCGATGGAGGTTGCACCAGGCGAACAGGGTATAAGGCTCTAGTAGTGTTACAGAGTATAATACACATATTTTAATATATTTTTTAAAAGAAACAAAACCACTGAGAAATGTTGTGTGTTTAACAACGGGTTCAGAAAACTTTGAAAATGTTAACAACGGGTTCGGCCGAACCTGTGCGAACCCACTGAATATCACCACTGTCTATATGTAATAGACATCCTCAGGTATTGAAGATATCGAACTTACGGCTAGTAGAATAGAATGTTTTTGAAAGTTCTGTTTAACTACGTAATTCAAATATGTTGCGTTAAAATTGAAAATATGTAAAATATTTAAAACATATCTGAATAAATAATTGATTTCATGTAGATCATGATGTAAATATCCTTCGTAATTTAAAATATCTTTGATGCGCGTTTCAATCATTGGGATCTAATTCAAATATGGCGCACCATGCTGCAGGAAGCGTATCGGTTTCTTTGAAATTAATACCAACCCCTTTTTTAATTGCCTTATATATCTCCAGCGATTCGAGGTACTTGAGTTGTGCCTTATCCAATACTTTGTGTAGCAATTTAGCGTTTTGTAGATCAACATGAACGTCCTCATTATTCGCATATGTCGCTAGTGTCGTTGTGGTCAGCTTTTTTCTTATCGAGTATACATGTTCTTTCATCCTCATGGCGAGACCTCTTGCGGTTGCTCCAATGTATGTTAAAGCATGGTTAACCCAGTGATCTTGAAGAGGAACCGCATAAACCCCTGGAGAGTTAGAATCTTCTATACGATTTTTGTCATTTCTGATAAGAAAGAAGACTGTAGGAGAGCGTCGATATGCTAGGTGTATTTTAGTAGTCCTTGCATTGCAAGGGCCTTGATCCTCGATATTAGTACCAAGTATTCAAAATCAAGTGTTAATAAACTTGATTTTGAATACTTTGTACTAATTAGTTACTAATTACTTCATACAAGGCAGCACTGTTCTTTTCATGAATTACATTCATTTTGTTCTGGTGAACTTTATTCCCAGAAACTTGTTCCAATTCTTAAAAGTATTTGATTCTTTTTCTGGTTAATTCTAACAAAGACTAATATTAACAAAGGTGTGTCCTTTTGTCCCCTTGTCAGGTGACCTTCATTTCTGTGACAAGGTTCAAATTATTCTTGGATTAGTTTGTTTGCTCTATACCAGTGTCTCTCAACTTTATTGGAATTATTGTACCCTGAGTATTGGAACATAACATCACCCCTTCTCTGTAAAATTTATCAGTTATTATTTTATGTTTTACATTTTATTAAAAAAATC